AAACCGTCGCTATCACAGCGGATCACAACGGCCGCACATCTTAGAAAGGCCAAGGCGAAGACAAGAACGCGAAGAACTACGTTCCCCCACACGATGGTCTCCCAACGCCCCCTACTCCTGCCATTGGAACACAGACCGCTACATTCGCCTTTCCCCGCATGGAAAACATGGCCTCTCCCAAGTGCTAGAAACTTCTACAGCTACTACGGCAAATTCAACAACTTGCGCCTGTGGTACTGCAGACTGGCCCTGCTAAGGGCCTTGGTAAGGAGGTCCGCGTGTTGCTCCGTCGTCGGAACAAATTTGACTGAAATATTTCCCGACCTAAACAATCCGCGGATGAAATGGAACCTCACGTCGATGTGTCTCGTGCGACCTGAGGGGTTTCTGCACCAACGCTATGGCCCCCTAGTTGTCTTCAACGACCTGGATGCTGCTACCACTGGTTTGAGGGTCAACAAACGAAAGTACCGCACGCACAAACAACGCCTCCTTGACGCCCTCCCCGGCAGCAATGTATTCGGCTTCGGTCGGAGACAAAGACACGATGCTCTGTGTCTTGCTACCATGGCTGACTACGGTACCTCCAACCGTCGTCGCCAACCCTGACACCGAACGCTTATCCTCCGTGTCGGGGTAGCTAGCGTCTACATACACGGCCATCCGNACAAACAACGCCTCCTTGACGCCCTCCCCGGCAGCAATGTATTCGGCTTCGGTCGGAGACAAAGACACGATGCTCTGTGTCTTGCTACCATGGCTGACTACGGTACCTCCAACCGTCGTCGCCAACCCTGACACCGAACGCCTATCCTCCGTGTCGGCGTAGCTAGCGTCTACGTACACGGCCAGCCCTAACCCCGATCCCCGTTGGTAGGTGATGCCGAGGTCCCTCGTCTCCTTTAAGTAGCCGAGGATCTTCCGGATGGCATCCCAGTACCTCTTCGCCGGGGCGTGGGCAAGGCGCGCTACCGCACGCACGGCGAACGAGACGTCTGGACGCGAGCACATTGACACCCACATCATGCTGCCGATGGCCTCCCTCACCGGCCACTCCCCTCCCTTCTCGTCATCTCGCTTTGGCCCTAGGTCGACACCAGGGGAAGCAGGGATGCGAAGGGTCGATTG